TCTCTAACCGCTCTGCTTTCAGGCCCACGCAGTTCAGCGCACACGTCCAACTAGGGCAGATGCCAGTCACCACCATTCACCAGATTTACACCAACACTACCGCATCTACTTCCTCCATCCAGCCCGGGTGTCTCCATCCAGCCCGGGTGTCTCCGGTATTTACAGAGACCTTTTAAATTTTGCCAGAGGGCATGTGCACTTTCTGGGGAAGGACAGGGAGAGGAAGTGAGAAAGCGCCCCATGAGGGATAGCCATTCCACAATCCCTCCTCCTCCGTTTCTCCTTTCGGGATTTTGGGCACACATGCACACTCATCTGGTGTGTTTCTCAAGGTGCCAAGGCCGGGACTTGAACTGCACTGTCAGCCACGTGGGAACCAGCTGCCTTAACCACCACCACCAGCTGGCTCTTACAGAGTATGCTCTACTCTTCCTCTCCTCCACATGCAGTCCTGCCCGCCCCCAGCCAGCAATGGGCCTGCTGTGACTCAGTTTCCCAGCAGAGTCCCCTGACCGAGCCGAGCACTACCTCCATCTGTCGCCTATGCGACCAGGTCCCGTCCAGACTGCTGTGCAGAGTGCCCCAGGGCCTCTGGGGTCTCCACTCGCAGCCCTGGCCGAGACCCTAGTGATTTAAAAAGGGGAAAGTTCCTGTCAAGTCCTTCAGCACACTTTCTGGCACGGAGTAGGCGTTCAATAAACATCGCCTGTAGTTTAAATGTAATACTCCTCCAGCAGTTAGCGTTGTGGCTATGTCACTGGACTCCCACGTAGTCGACCACAGTTAGAGTCCCAGACCCGGTGGCTTAAACTCACGCCTGCGCGTGTACATGCGTGCCTAAGATCCCGAGAGGAGAATGGAGGAGAAGGGATTGCGGCATGGCCATCCCCCCGGGGGTGATTTCTCACTTTCTGTCTCTCTGTGTCTGTCTAGCGAGCACACGTGCCCTATAGCAAAAACCTCTTAAAAAAAAAAAAAAAAAAGAAAGAAAAACCCTATTCTATACTACCCTTGTCATGCACCATGGAAACCAGCAGGGAAAGCAGAATGTTAAATATTTGTCTCATTTTCCTAAAAGCCTATTTTTCCCTATGTACTCAGATTTAGTTATGTCACGACTCACTCATGGCTAAGAGATCACCAGCCAGATGGAGACAGCACCAAAGGGCAAGCTGGCCTCCCATTCCCTGCAGGATGGAATCCAGGCTCCTCTTCACTCCCCAAGGCCTGAAGTCTGCAGTCCCCACAGCCCCCACACTCCTGGGACCAGCAGGCCTCCATGCCACCCCAGGAAGCCAGCACGCGTAGCACAGGTGACCAGCAAACCCAACCTGAGAGCCAGGGGCGGAGGGGGAGGGCTTTCTGCTCCTGCTCCTTGCAAAGCACACACTTCCGCCAAAATGTACAGCAACTCCTACCCTGCAAAAGCACCACGCCAAAAAACTACTGGAAGGAAAAAGTATTAGAACAGCCATTATTTCTGGCTAGATAGAAACATGACATCTTTATACATCTTTGTAACTTCTAAATATTCTGCTATGGACATATTTAGCTGTAAAAAATAAATAAATAAAACAAAACCTAAAAGTTGTTGATTCCCAAGGAAAGAAAGCAGATGTTTTGACCCTTATCAGCTGCAAGAAGTCACCGAGTCTCTCCACCTGCTACCCAGTAAAGCAGAACCACCATAAGGAACAGCTTGTGAAGCATCTGACAAACGACCTCTAGGTGTTCTGGGCAGAAGCGGGGAGGTGAGGGAATTTAGTGATTATAAAAGCTGAAGTCCCAAAAGTGGAGAAAACCTTCCTGTTGGGCTTTAACAACGAAGCAAATTAAAACCACACACAGACTAAAGAGCGCCTGCTTACCCTGTGCTGCTCCGGGACAGGCGTGGTGCACTTGTACGAGTAATCCAAGCCCATTTCCCCAAACGCCACAGCCTTGGGGTGCCTCAAGGCTTGCAAAAGATTTCTTTCTTGACTGTCATTGTAGTAACGTGCAAAATGAGGGTGACAGCCAAAGGCCCCCCAAACTAGATCCTCTTTCAACAGCTCCTCCCACAGGCAATCCGTCAGAGTCCGAGGGTCACAGAAGTCAGAGATGCAGCCCTGAAACTCCTTGGGGAAGGAGCTGCTATAAATCTTCCTGAACTTGGTGAAGGTCCCTTTGAAAGACAGCTTAGAGTACAGCATGTCCAGGTGACAATGGGTGTCAATGAAGCCCTCCTCCAGGCTCGGCTCCCGGTGGCTCCTTGGCAGGGAGCCAGATGCGGGTCCTCCACAGGGACGTGGCGGCTCTTCCTCTTGGAATGTTCTCTTCTCCTTCATCTCTTCTTCTGAGCTTCTGGAGAAGCGACAGGAGCGAGAATTTCGGGACCGGCCTTCCTCTGTGGCCTCCAGGTCCCTGGAAGTGCTACGGGCACCCACTGTGGAGTTGGAGGGATACTCGCTCAGGAGGCTCCGGCTGCTCCTCTCAGCCTGGGCCGCGTCTCTGCTGCTGCCCACGGAGGGGTAGCCGGAGGGCTTGGGGCTGCTGGTCCAGTAGCTGGCGTAGTCACACCAAGGGCTACTGTACAAATGAGGCGGGTACATGACGTAGTCGGTGGTGAAGGAAGAAGGCTCTGGAACTGCCGAGTACTTCAGCGAGATGGGCTCCTCCTGAGAGAACCTGACTGTGGAAACCTCATCCACATCGGACCAGTCGCTTCCTGAAGAGGGGTGCTCTATCACCACCTCCCTGTCTTTATGCTGCAGAGAAGAAGCGACAAGGGGTTAGCGCTCCCACGTGGACACCTCCCTCACGCAGGCACGCGCGGAACGTGAGCCGCAGCTTGTTTTCACTGCAGGGGGAAGGCGCTGCAGGCTCCTTAGCCCACCGCGTCACCTGGCTCGCCACACCTGTCCGTCATCTCCAGATGGAAGCCATAGTCTGGGGGAAGCTAGGCTCCTCCTGAGAGAACCTGACTGTGGAAACCTCATCCACATCGGACCAGTCGCTTCCTGAAGAGGGGTGCTCTATCACCACCTCCCTGTCTTTATGCTGCAGAGAAGAAGCGACAAGGGGTTAGCGCTCCCACGTGGACACCTCCCTCACGCAGGCACGCGCGGAACGTGAGCCGCAGCTTGTTTTCACTGCAGGGGGAAGGCGCTGCAGGCTCCTTAGCCCACCGCGTCACCTGGCTCGCCACACTGCAGGGGGAAGGCGCTGCACTGGCTCCTTAGCCCACCGCGTCACCTGGCTCCTTACACTGCAGGGGGAAGGCGCTGCATTGGCTCCTTAGCCCACTGCGTCACCTGACTCCCTATACTGCAGGGGGAAGGCGCTGCACTGGCTCATTAGCCCACCGAGTCACCTGGCTCCCTACACTGCAGGGGGAAGGCGCTGCAGGCTCATTAGCCCACCGCGTCACCTGGCTCCCTACACTGCAGGGGGAAGGCGCTGCAGGCTCATTAGCCCACCGCGTCACCTGGCTCCCTACACTGCAGGGGGAAGGCGCTGCAGGCTCCTTAGCCCACCGCGTCACCTGGCTCCTTACACTGCAGGGGGAAGGCGCTGCAGGCTCCTTAGCCCACCGCGTCACCTGGCTCCCTTACACTGTCCGTCATCTCCAGATGGAAGCCATAGTCTGGGGCAGGCTACAGCTGTGAACGGCCACATCGGGTCTGGGAACAAACCTGCAACCAGGGTCTCATGATGCTACCCCTGCAGGGGATGCTAGACCTGCACTCCCGTTCTTAATGATGTCTCTTGAGGGACCAGCAGTTAACGTAACGGCTATGTCGCTGAACACCCACATAGCTGACCGCAGTTCAAGTCCTGGACCCAGTGGCTTAAACTCACGCTGGGTGCGTGTGCGTGGGTGCCCAAGATTCTGAGAGAACAGAGGAGAAGGGATTCCGGTGTGGCCATCCCCCCCAGGGGGGGA